CATCATGCTGTTTAATCCTGGGCAAAATTGCTTTATGCTTCCAACAAAATAAAGAGAGACCAACCAATATACAGTCACTCTATTCAAGAATCAAAGAAGCAACTAAAGGAGATACATATTATTTGAAACGAAAGCAGTGGGAACAACACTAAAATTGCTTGATTATGGATGCTGCTACAACTTAATTATTTTCCTGGCCTAATTGAAACCAAATGGTAAGAAAAAAGTCACTCTTTGATTGTTTAGATTCTTCTTTCCCACAAAAGATAGTTACAGCTTAATAGCTTATTGCTCACTTCTAATATACACTAATGCACCTACTTAACTTTTAGTTTATGATTAAGCTAACACATTGCTGGTTTAAATTCAACAGTGATCTACCATCTAAAATTCGATTTGAATGAATGAATTATGTGGAGAATATAGCTTAAAGGCTTGATAATGGGAACAAATAAAGTGTAACTAATATTCATAACAAGCAAAAAAATGGCTTCATTATGCTGCAGGACAAACATCACCAATATGCTAAAGTAATTTATCCAAATGATTACAAAAAAAACCTATAAAGATGTACTAAACTACTAACCAATCATACATAATCTTGCCAAAGGGGAAAAACATAAAACAACAAACAGAGATCAATAATAATGTATACAACATATCAATACCAATTGACTGAAATGCTTCAATTATCCCACCACAACATTCCCTAGCTTAAACATAATGATAAAGCTCAATCCCAACATAGTGAAATGCCCAAAAACACAAGTCCATAATAACAAACAATGAAGAAAACCCAATAACATCAACCCAACATAGTAACAACAACTCTCATTTCACATTCAATTAAGTGAAGTACATTCAATCAAATGAATTTACATTCTTACATAACATTACAATCCATGACAAACAATTATACATACAATGCTCAACAACAGATACAAATCAAACCAACAAAATCAACAATAACCAAACTCAAACTATCAAAAAACACAAATCAGGACAAATTAGAAAAACCCTTCTCTTCAAAACTCAAAATAATTAAAAGAAAAATACCCATTTCACCATTCAAAACCCCAGAAAAAAAAAACCCAATTCAAGAATCAAAACAAAACCCAAAAAAAGTAGAAGAACAAACCTTCAAAGTACATGAAAACACCATCCTTTCGGCGCCAAGGCTTACGCTGCCTAACAATAACAGCAGGCATAACCTTCTTACGAAGATCAGGCTTACCCTTCTTAACAGTAGCCATAACCATATCACCAACACAAGCTGAAGGCAAACGATTAAGCCTACCCTTGATACCCTTCACTGAAATGATGTAAAGGTTCTTTGCTCCGGTGTTGTCGGCGCAGTTCACCACCGCTGCCACTGGTAAACCCAGTGACATTCTGAACTTGTTCCCCGCCGATCCTCCGCGTCCTGCAAATCAAATCAAATCAAGATCAAACATTTTTAGGGTTTTTGGGATTGTTAAGAAATTGGGGGTGATTAATTTGAATAAGAAGATGCAATGGTTGTTGGGGTTTACCTCGCTTCGACATTGTTGCTGCTGGGTTTCTCCCACTCTCTCTCTTTGTTTTTGTATGGAGTGATTAGGAGGAGGAGAAAGAGGCGTTTTATGTTAGGGTTTTTTTGAGGGGTTTTTTTTGGTGGGCTGGAATTAGCTGGGCTGGATTTTGGTACTTGCTAATTTGCTAGTGAATCATTTTGCTGAGCATTTGTCAAATTGGGTCAATGGGTGGGTGGGTTGAGTGTAAGTTGGATCTTGCTGTTCGGGTCATATTGTGGATTTGGATTGTGTTGAACTAGTGTATTCATGTGCATTGAACTTTTTGTGTGTGTGGTGGGGGGGGGGGGGGGGGGGGGAGGGAAGAATGTGCATTGAACTTGAGGAATGAGGAGTAAAGGGATTGTTAGTCCCTCCATCCTCCCCATGTGTGATAGGGGTTCCATTCCTCATCTTCCCCACTCTCTTATTTATCTTTTGTTTGCGATTATTTTTGTCAATAATGTATACTTCCTTCGTCTCTATATATTCTTTTCATTTTGACTATGCATGTTTGTCAATGCAAAACTTTGACCATAAATATTATTAGTTGTTCATTAATGAAAAATATAACAATTGAACATCAATAAACTATTTATTAAGATGAATAAAATAATATCAAATGGGAATAACGTATAGGGACTAAGGGGGTACTAAATACTAATATGCGTAGTACTTGTTTTCAAGAACAGTCATGAGTCTTACTCTCTCTAAGTTTCACATGTCCACTAAATACAATATAGTTTTTTAATCATAAAATAGAAACAATACAAAATCAAACTAAATCCTACTACAAAGTTATTCAAAAGTAACATCATATCAACAATGTTACTCAATTAAAAAAGAGAAAGAAGGAGAACGTTGGTTGGGAGGCTGCTATGGCTGAAGCGAGGGTTGCGAGATATGGTCTGATACTTGCTCGAAGGTTGGGTTTGGAGAGTGATGCTTTGACTTTGGCACAGGCAATCCAACGCAAACAAAAGGGAGCAGCTCCTATTTTCCTTATTTAAGCATTTTACTTGTAAGTATGTTAAACATACGGGTAACAATGTAGCTCACTTGGTTGCTAGATGGGACACAAACTCCTTTCGGAGCGTGTATGTATGAGCTCTTTTCTCCAAAGTCTACAAACTTTGGCGGAACTTGATTTATCTTGATATAATCCCATACTTTTCCTTTAAAAAAAAAAATTAAAAAAAATAAATAAATAATACTTTGCGTTATGAATGCATTTTTATAATCCTATCTACAATATGCTAATTTGCTAATCATCCAATGATTCCAATCTACCAAGAGTCCAGGAGACTTCTTACAAGTTAGGACAAAAGATAACAAGAGCTCTTTCCCAAATTAAGGTCAAGAAGAACCGCAATTCCCAAATTGCAGCCAAAGTTTTAAGAATTCCCAAAGTACCGTCCACGTCACCGGTTCAGGGGGAAGAAATTTTAAATCCGGTCTACAGCAAAACCGCTACCTGAAGTAGCGGTTTTTACTAATAAACCGCTACTTCAGGTAGCGGTTTCTTTTTAATAAACCGCTACTTCAAGTAGCGGTTTTTGTTTAATAAACCGCTACTTCAAGTAGCGGTTTTCTAGCAGGTATAATTTCCCGATTTCACTTTCCTCTTTCATTTTCGTCTTCTCACCAAAATCCCATCCACGCCTTCCACCAAAATCACACCTCCTTCAACGGAAGCCGGCGCAGCCAAGGAATCCACCGACGCCGCCGGAGCATTCCTCAGCAACGAAGGCCGCCGCTGTTGACGCCGAGGGTTCGACTTTAGTGGTCGGCTTCGCTAATTTCAGAAGAAACGTGCTGATCTTCTTGTTTGTGGTAAGTGCCCTAATTATTTTTTGTATTCAGTTATTGGGTTTGTTGTTGTTATTGAGTTTGTTGTTGTTATTGAGTTTCAGAATTGTATGTATGTGTTGTTGTTGTTGGTTTTGGTTGTGTTGTTGTTGTTAGTGTTCTTGTTTATTGTTGTTGTTATTGAGTTTCGGTTTTGGTTGTGTTGTTGTTGTTAGTGTTCTTGTTTATTGTTGTTGTTATTGAGTTTCAGAATTGTATGTATGTTTGTGGTTGGTTTTGGTTGTTGTTGTTGATTTACTTACCTTACATATAACCCTTGTAGAATTATTAATGGTTTCGATCACATTACTCAGTTTAGGTTGCTATAATTGCTGATTTTGAAAGTGAAAATAGAGCTTCTATACACAAAGTACATGAGCTCAAAGTACATGTAGTCATGACTTATGCCCATGTTGAGCTTCAAGAGGTATTAAGACCATGTACACGAGTGGAGTCGACGAGAGGCATTAGTCGTCCAGGGATACCCGTTCACTGGGACTTCTTCCCCGGCCATGACAGAGTACATGGCTTGGTACCGTCGCATCACGAGACTGGTCATTACTCCACCTTCGCAGGAGCGCCCCCCGAGTCATTACCAGCCAGCTACCTCGGACCTCCTGCTTGTATGAACTTCACTTCATTTCAATCTAGTTCTTACGTTTTTGATTTCATTTTACTAACATTAAAACTACACTTAAATGTAGGCACATGCATTTGCTGATTTGCACGTCCAGCTATCGGGAGCTACTGAGACCATCTCCCACTTGCCACCAGAGACGGCTATACCATTTGCCATACAGACGATGCAGGGTTTTACATCATTTTGTGGCCAAACCTTGTCTAGGGTGGGGGCAGTTACACCTTATTCAGCAGCCTCGACCGTCCACGTCTTCATCTTCTACTGTGCACACTATGCCGATCAGACCACCACCTCATCGTGGAGGCCATTCAGCACGTGCCTTCCGTCCACCGACTCCTTCTCAGCATACTATCATGACATCTCCTCCACTAGTGCATCGCCAGTATCAGAGAAACCGACGGCGTAGCAACACTACGTCTGGGGTTGGAGTTGGCCTGGATGACATTCCAGAGGAGACAACTGCATCATCTTCATCGTCACCTCATGGGAAGAAGCAACGCCCGAGCTAAGTGTATATTTTGGAACTAAACTAATTTTTTTGTAAATGCTTAGAATTGGATTTTGTTATATTTAATCAATTGAAAAATATTCGACTTTGCAATTTCGACTTCCTTAGATCTTCATAAACTTGTTATTTATGGTGGTTGTGTTGAAAATATGCTATATATCTCATGTTTTACAGGTACACAACTTGCAGGTTTTTTTTTTGAGTGATTATGCAAGTTTGAAAAAAAAACCAGTCCAGGGTAAACCGCTACTTCAAGTAGCGGTTTTTAAAGTAAACCGCTACTTGAAGTAGCGGTTTTTAAAGTAAACCGCTACTTGAAGTAGCGGTTTTCCAAAATAAACCGCTACATTAAATAGCGGTTTTTTGTAAACAAACCGCTACTTCAAGTAGCGGTTTTAAACTAAGAAACCGCTACTTGAAGTGGCGGTTTATTGCAAAGAAACCGCTACTTGAAGTAGCGGTTTACCCTGGACCGGAAAAAAAAAAAATCGGTTTTTTAACCAGTGCTTACGTGGACGGTAGAATGGGAAAACTTAAAACTTTGGCTGCAATTTGGGAATTGCGGTTCTTCTTGACCTTAATTTGGGAAAGAGCTCAGATAACAAACCCAATTGAACACCAACCTAAAACACCAAAAAAAATCTCAAAACAATGTCCACTACTTTCCTCCAATCTCCACCATTTCTCACCACCAAAATCATCACCACTAAAACCACCAATCCCCAACATCTCCGCCGCAACTTCCGCCCTATAAACTCCCTCAACCGCCCCACAACACCACCAACTTCAACCACCCCAAACAATGTCCAAACTCTCCTCACCAACCTCACTAAACTCCTATGGTCCAAAACCCTTCCACCCCAACTCCTCATCTCCACCGTCAGATCAATCTGGACCACCACGTGGCTTCTTATGATGTCCCAACTCGCCCCTTCTGACCCCACTGGTAGTTACTCAAGACCCACCTCCCAATTTCGCGCCAAAATCAACAACCTTTCCCGCCATAACCTAACTACCCTCCATCTCTATGTGGGTCTTCCTTGTCCTTGGGCTCATAGGACCCTCATTGTTAGGGCTCTAAAGGGTCTTGAGGAGGTGGTTCCGGTGTCGGTTGCGTCGCCGGGTGTTGATGGGTTGTGGGTTTTTGATGGGGTGATGGGTACTGATGATTATGCTAATGGGTGTAAGACTTTGAAGGAGGTTTATAAGCTTAGGAAAGATGGGTATGATGGGAGGTCTACTGTGCCTATGTTGTGGGATGTGGAAAAGAAGGAGGTTGTGTGTAATGAGAGTTATGATATTGTTCAATTGCTTAATTCTGGGTTTAATGAATTGGCCAAGAATCCGGGTTTGGACCTCGAACCTCCCTCGTTGAGGGGGAGGATTGAGGAGTGGAATCGCGTTATTTATCCTTATGTGAACAATGGGGTTTATAGGTAATCATCTATCTTTGCCTTGAAGTTATATATGCTAAAGGAGTTGTTTTGTTAATTGTTTGATATTTGTCTTAATGTTCAGTGATGAGGTCTATAGGTGATTGTCTATACTTGTATTTGTAATAGTTGGTAGTTAATTTGGTTTGCTACTTTGCTTCTTGTGTAGTTGTGTTATTGATAGACTATTGCTAAATTGAGTAATGATCAATGAATTTAGACCATTTAGTTGGCAGTGTTTTGTGATTAGTATGTCCTGTGAGGGGATAGAATGCATATTGATATCAGGATGATGTATTTTATGGATTAGGTGTGGGTTTGCTCAAACTCAAGAGGCTTATGATGCAGCTGTGAGTGACTTGTTTGGCACACTAGACACATTAGAGGATCATTTGGAGCATTCCCGATACCTTTGTGGAGATTCATTGACAATTGCTGATGTCTGCTTGTTCACTACCTTAATCAGATTTGATCTTGTTTATAATGTTATGTTCAAGTGCACAAAGAAAAAGATAGTTGAGTATACCAATCTTCATGCATATATGCGAGACATTTATCAGGTGGCATTACTCTTCCCTTTTTCATTATTCGTTGATTCTTGACTTCTTGTGATGCTTATTTTTCTGGTATAGTGTAGATCAACCTTTTTTCCTGATACATTTCAATGCATTGATTGAGCCCATGCAGTGAGATATACAAGCAATGTGTGTTCTTTTTCACTTCGTTGTATTTGAATTTGAATGGCGGCATAATTCCTTAAGTTCTTACTTCCTAATTTCACAAAAGAAGTTTTTTTTTTTTTTTTTTTTTTTTTTGACGGGCACAAAAGAAGAATAAGTTTCAAGACTGTCAACTTTTGGCAATTGATGGGTTTGTGAGTTCGTGTAGATCAGAGTGCTTAATGTTTGAACCACTTAAGCAAATAGGTTCTACATGATCAGAGTTCAAATACGCAACTTATCAAATAGAGATTTTTGCTGCTATAAGTCAAATGAATGGTTAATGATTTTGGCTGCGTACATCATAGTAAACAAGGAAAATACTAGATTTGATTGACAAAGTAATTAGGTAACCAAGCCTAGCAAGTCCAGGCATTTTGGTTTGACCACCTCCAATGCAGCTTGAAATGGACAATCTATCAGGGTAGTGATTTACTGATTTAATACTCTTATTCATTTTGTGGAAAATCTTGGAGCCTGGACTCCTCTAGATCTCTGACTAATTTTTCTGTTTACATGTACTTCAAAATCTATATTCATCTCCTCAAATGTGTTTTCCTGCCATGTTCACAACAGCCAGAATCTAATATTTTGCTCCACTCTTCCTGCTTTATTAGGTTCTTAACTTCTTAGAGTAGGAATTTACCCGTACATCCAATTAATAGCGAGAATGTACTTTTGAAGGGAAAACAGCTAGGATGGCCATTGCACATCTAAAGATTGAATAGTGATGCAAGAGCACTTACCCTGAAGGTTTACTTAAGACCAATGTTACGCTTGTTGCTTAATATCCCCTTCTTCCCAAATACATTGCCCCATCTACCAAAATTGATGTCCCTAAACCCCATACCCCTATCTGATAACTGTGGTAAGTTTTCCTACTAGCACCCAACTCGCTCTCTCTATTTATCTCCTCGTCTATAATTGTCCCCACCCAGCTAAATTTTTTCTTGGTTCTTAATAATTGGGTTTGGGGCAATTTTATTAGGGAATGAGAGAACTCTAGTTACACCTGTGAATCATGGCCATGCTGAGTCATGCCATGCATTTTTCTTACACCCCATGCCAGTATGTCACAATATTCATTATGCTAAACTAACATTTGAATATTCTGTTAAATGTTTAAGGTAGTGATAATGTTTTAGTGTCAGTTAGCTTAATGGGATCTCTCTAATAATATGCAATAAGGCGATACTTCATTAGCTTACCAACGAGTGTTGAATGAAGTTATTCTCTTGTCTCTATTATTAGTTGGGAATTTGTGACCTATCCTTTCTTTCTGCTCCCGCTTCTTCCTCCTCCTCCTCCTCCTCTTCTTCATCTTCTCTCTCTCTCTCTCTCTCTCTCTCTCTCTCTCTCTCTCTCTCTCTCTCTCTCTCTCTTTTCCGAGTTGACCTTCATGAGACTTCTTACGTGTTTTGGAATGAGGACCTGCTTGGAAGAAAGAATTCATGGTGTCCAGAGTCTCCAGACATACATTCAGATGCCACTTTATATTCTGTCTGCGACTGCATCTCTTTTTCCGAGTTGACCTTCATGAGACTTCTTACGTGTTTTGGAATGAGGACCTGCTTGGAAGAAAGAATTCATGGTGTCCAGAGTCTCCAGACATACATTCAGATGCCACTTTATATTCTGTCTGCGACTACATCTCTTCCAGATTAATTAACTGTTTTGAACTGACTTAGATTGAATAATTTTGATGAAATTTAAACAAGGAAGAAGAGCTTTGATCAGTAGAATAAAAAAATTACAGCAAAACAGAAGATAGGTTTCAAGCACCTGAGTGGTTTGGTAACTCCCTAGAACTAAGTGCTTTTCACTGTATTTCCCATGCTCTCCGCCTCTCTAATCTTCAGTATTTATAGAACAAAGCCAACAAACTAACCCCTTGCTTCCTCTCCAAGCTAATCCTAACAGATTTACTATGCACTACCAATATTACCCCTCCATTTACGTCGGTTCGTTGCATCAACAGCGATAAAATTAGATTAGTGCACCTAGAAGACACAATAGATAATACTTTCTTAAGTATCACCTGTATGCTATGCTTTACATGTTTCTTTCAAACCACTTACGTAAAGCAATTTTGCTCGATTTTTTTTAATCAGTAAAATTCTTATGGTCGTGCCTTAGCGGTACCCTAAGGCATGCAACAAAAATAAGGGTGTAATTGTGTAAACTCCTACTCTGTGCATGTAACTAGACATTTTTCATTCTTTAATATATAGCACCATATTGGATGTCAGTGATTTTTTGTTAGTACATCACATCAAGACTATTAAAAGCTATAATGATGATACTGAAGAAGCAAATCATCACGTAGGTCAGTTTATATTTTTTTTCATTTTTTTTGAAATATATGGATGCTATACAACAACTGGATTGTGAAAATACTGATATGTACTTTCTGAGTTCTATGGCTACTATATTGGCTGATTCTTGAACATATGGTCTAGTATTCTATGTTCAGAAGTGCACATATTGATAATCATATCAGCTTAATCATTACTTGCATGATCAGTTTGGAATCATTTTTGCTGTTGTTCTTGCTTACCTTTCATTCAATTTTCTTGTTTTTCTATGTCTAGGGAGGGGGAGGCCCAGAGGGGTGTTCTGTGCATATACTAATGCTTATATGATACATTGCGTGCAGATTCCAAAAGTCGCAGAAACTTGCAATTTAAAAGCTATGATGGATGGCTACTACAATTTCCTGTTTCCACTGAATCCAGGAAATATTCGGCCTATTACGCCATCTGGTTGTGAGCATGAAGCTCTCTCAAGACCGCACAATAGGGAATTACTATCATCGGCTGATGAAAGCTTGCAGACTATTATATCTTGATTATTCAGACTCAGAGTGTAAAATATGAGTATATCATATGACTAAACATAGACAATGGATCTTGTTATTCTTTTCTATTGATTGTAGTATTATATGCAATAAGTGGGAGTTTTTTTCCTTTTCTAGGGGAGTGGAGGTAGGGATGAAATGGTTGAAAGAGTGAAATTGTCAGTTGTGTATAGTTGTATTTTTTGTACTCTGCCCTCCTTGAGCCATTGTGTAAGGAGTTAAGGACCTATAATGTAGACTTTGAGAGGAATTATACTAATGAGCAAATTCTTAGTTAATTTTGGGATCAAGCAGATGTGTTATTTATTTATTGTATTTTCTTTTTTTTAGCCAGTTTTTGAATTCAGGTTGGAAATTTCTTATTCGTCTGGAGACATTTTGGCAAATTTGAAGTCTTGAACTACTCCTTAATACCAAGGCTTTTTTTTAATTATATGATTATTGGGGATAAAGCTGCTGCAAACACCTATATACATATTCAGGTATTTCCTTGAAGATGCCATGAGTTTTATTTTCATGTTGCATTAATACGATTTGAGTGCTTGCTTATGCTGGTTATTGGTAAGGACTTGAATTATAAGTGTCTAATAATGGTTAGTAGAGGAAATAGCCAACACATGAATTTAAGGATGCCTAACAACCCTCACGCAACAAAGAAAAGGACTTTTCTCACACTACATATGTGTAATGATTCAAGGGTTAGAACTTAGAAGGCTGTATGTTGGTGGATTGGCAATTACTAATGCCTTGAGGGTGAAGCATTGTGGGCTCAATGGAACATAATTTGATTGAAATTCAGAGAATAATTGATGCTGGACTAATGGAATTGTTTCACAGGAGGAAATAGTATTTCATATAAACAAGAAAAGCTAATGGAGTGATAGAAAATCTTACTGGGAGAAATTTGAACAATATTCTCATTATATGTTTTATCTTGCTTACTTGTTTATGCTGGTACTCTTTGCAGAGCTGTGCAGTGTTTTTTATTTATCAATTTAACCCTCTAAAAGCATTATAAACCTTCACATTTACCTCCTATCACTGCCAGTATCTTTCATGGTAATTTTAGAGGTGTGACTCATTTTCGTTATCTTTTCATCGACACCTTTTGTGTAATTTGGTTTTGTACCATCCTAATTCCAATGAGTACAAAATCATCTTCTTTTAGCTATTTCCTTTGCCTCAAAAGTATTTTCTTTCTGGTGACCATGTCTGTTTCGTACTTTCACCTATGTGATAGTTTTTGCCTTGATTCTTTTGTGCTGCAGTTTCATGACTTACTATTGCAGTTATAAGGCTGTCAAATCTTCTTTAATTTATTTGCTAGCTTCTTCCATCTTTAGATCTTTGACCGTGATCAAATTTGTGTTCAAAAGTTACTTTTAACCTGCAATTTGTTTATTTGGGGTGGATTTGATGTTCTTGTAGAACATAATATGTTGTTTTGTTGATATATTGCCATCATACCACAGGCATAAGCGATACAACTTACAGCTTATCCTAATGATTAAAAACCAACCTCTATCAGCTTGGACACCTTCATACAACTATACCTAAGATACTACTGTAAGTCTGTAATATCTATTCTTCACTGTGCTCTGGACACCTTTATACCTAAGATAATAATAGTAGGATTTACAACGCCATATAGCTTCATCTCTGACACTCGAGAATGTGTATACTGTAGCAGCCACAGTTGCTATTGCATTGATTATCTATTCCTACTAACAATATTATTATTTCTAGGGTTGCAGTTTGTGCTTTGTCATTGATTATCTATAGTTCACAAACAGGTTAAGAATGCTGCTGCACCGATCGATCTGAGCATGAAGCTAGCACATTAAAAACTGAAAAAAATCAACTTTTCTTCTTCCAGCAAAGAGGGATCAAGTAAAAAAAGGGAAATGGCTGCCAGCCTGCCATGATATCTGAATTTTACAAGGATGTCTTCAAAGAGCCTCCAGACGAGTTTGGTACTGTACAGAATCAACTTATGAGCATGAAACTTGATAGATCAGTTTGATAGATATTTTTTTTTCAAGTAATCTATATATATGTGGTGGCGACGACAGTCTCTACGAGAGTACAAGAGAGTGAATGATTTTACGTTAAGAAAGAGAGGCTTGAAGGACATACTTCCTCCGTTCTTTTTTACTTGACCCGCTTTGACTTTTACACTATTCACCATCCCTCCTTTGACCATGTTTTGTGAATAATATGTAAGGAAAAACATATTTATGTTGGATCATTTTGAATTCGTCTCAATAAGTACTATTATAATATATAATTTTTATATTTTTTAATTATGGAAAATTAAAGTTATTGACCATTAAAGTTTTACATTGGCAACCGTGATAAAAGAAATAGGTCAAGTAAAAAAGAACAGAGGAAGTATATAAAAAGAAGTGTCCTCTTTGATTAACCATGTTTATGTACTTATACTGGAATGTATATACTGCGCATTAGATTTGTTGGAAATAGGTAATGCAAACGGATGCTCGCGCCCGATCGGGCGGCCCTCGCCCGATCGGGCGGAGGTGGTTAAGGAAAATAGGAGAACTCTTGCGCCCGATCGGGCGGCGGACTCGAGTTTTTGACGAGAACTCTCGCGCCCGATCGGGCGGCCTTCGCCTGACCGGGCGGCGGACTCGAGTTTTTGACGAGCCCGATCGGGCGGCTTCGCCCGCTGGCTCGCCCGACCGGGCGGTGTTCGCCCGACCGGGCGCGACACTAGGTCTGGAGAAACTCGATCTCGCGCCCGATCGGGCGGCAGCTTGCCCGATCGGGCCCGTCTTTTTTCCTTGGTCGGTGTGTTTTGCGTGTTTCCTTTTCCGGGACTCATATAAATACGAGTCTTGCCTTTTCATGAGATTCATTCACTTTCTAGCCAAAAACACAAACCTACCTTTTGAGATCTGAACAATTCTTGAGCAATTCCACTCTTCGAGTTCGGGTGCACGGATTATGGAAAGAGTTGCGTTAAACTTGGGGGGCGTGCGTCACTAGGAAACTTGTACCGGTGGTGGCGTATTTCGCTTCTAAGGCAGTGGATTTTGTTCCACGGCGTGACTGTGAGTTTGGGATCTTCAATCCAGGAAAGTTCTAATCTTTTGTTTGTTATTGATTTCAACAGTTATTTTACCAACAATTTAGAAGCGAAATAATTTGATTTATTCTGTTGATATTATGACTAGCAATTCTCAAACTCGTCTATACCTAGATCTGTCTAAGGTTGAGTCTCTTGATGGAATCAATTATAAGAGATGGTCACAAAGGATGTTGATTGCTTTTGAACAAGTAGAAATTGATTACGTTTTGTTTAGGGATGCTCTAAAACCTATTGAGCAAACCAATACCATGATTGAAATGTTGGGGTTTGGTGAGTCCGACTCACCGCGGAAACAACCCCGACCCAAGGAACCACTCGTAATTAATAAAACCATAAAGCATAAATAAATAAACACAAGAAAAGGAAGAACGAATCATACCCTTGAAGCGAGCTTCGCCCTCTCAAAACGGGCTCTTACTTGAAAGCGTTGAACACCGCAAATGTCGTGCCTCCAACAGTATCCACCCACAAAGGACGAACACGACTTTTTAGGTCCGCTACCTTGGAGTTAGCAAGGTCTGACCAAAACCCAAGTGTTAATGGAGTTTAAGAGTTTTTCCAAAATATGGAATGCTCTTTCTAACTCTCACTCAAGCACTTTACTCCAAATCCCAAGGTTGGTATTTATAGAGGAAAGTATGAGTGGGAATTTCTATCTCATCGATGTGGGATCATGAAATTCCACAAATTAATTTAAAGCTAAATTAAATTAAAATTGCAAACTAATAATAAATCTACAAGTGGAATTACCATGTGAAATGGGTTGGTGAGGACCACATGGAGAGTAGAGGACCATACTTGCTCCCCACTCAATACTCTCCTTGTGCCACATGTCCTTACCCACTTGCTCCCATATTCCTCAAACTTCCCCATAGTGAAGGCCCTACGGCCCAGCCATGAGCCCAGCCCGAGCCCAGCCCCGCACCAAGATGCGGGTTGCTGCTGTGCGGGCTTGCTGATGTGCGTGGCTGCTAGTGCGTGCGCTGCTAGCACGCCTAGCTTGCGGCAGCTAACTGCTGCACGCACCACGTGCACGCGGCTGCTAGCTGCTGCTGTGCGTAGCTGCTAGCACGCACCTAGCCAGCCATGCTAGGCTCGGCTTGGTGCGCTTGCTAGCCACCTATGCTTGGACATTTTTGCCCCTAGAATTCGGATGCTCGGGGCATACCGATGCTAGGGGTATTTTGGGAATATGGTCGATTTATTATTATTTTGCGCGTCTTGTCTTTTTTATTATTTTTGACTCGACTTCCGACGATCAGTTTCGACGCTCCAAGCTCGAATTATCGACGTCTATATATTTAACACTCGGGCGACGAATTAATTTCTTCCGAATTAATTCGTCGAGTCGTTTCGTATATTTTGCTTGGGTGTGACCCAAAGGGTTCAGTCAAGATTAAGCTGTAATATTAATTATATTAATATTCCTGATCGGAAGCGGCCTCCACCCAGGCATTCCGATCACTTGACCTTAGTGAATATATTAGCTTTCTAATAATTCTGAACCCGCTATCAGAATAATACATTTGTTCGAAGGACACCATTCCTTTCATGAAATTCCTAGTACTCCTGTTCCTGGGAATAAAGAATCTAGCTCTAGTCAAAGGACCACTACTGTTATTGCTAATAAATCTGAAATCAAGAAATTTGATCGTGATAATAAATTTGTTAGAGGTCATCTTTTGAACAGCATGAAAAACAACATATTTGATTTGTATGTTAATATGAAATCTGCTAAGGAGATGTGGGAGTCTTTAGAGAAGAAATATGGTGCTGATGATGCTGGGAAAAAGAAGTATGTGACTGGAAATTGGTTGAATTTCAAATTGGTGGATACAAAGCCTATTATGGACCAAGTCCATGTGTATGAAAATTATGTTGCTGAAATTCTTGCTCAAGGTATGAAGATAAGTGAAATCCTTCAGCAGGCTAATGTTTTGATTGAAAAATTACCTGATTCCTGGTCGGATTATAGAAATTACCTTAAGCATAAAAAGAGGGATTTAACCCTAGAAGAACTTGTGAGCCACATGAAGATTGAGGAAGAAAACAGGCTTAAGGATGTTTCCTCTAAGCCAAAGAATGTGTTAGCAATCAAGACTAACCTTGTTGAATCTGGTGCTGCTAACTCTAACAAGAAAGCAGATGATAATCGTGCCAAGAAGGGGAGCTCTGAGAAGA